ACAAAAAATGACACTAGAAACTGTTACAAATATGCTTATAAGAATCACTACAAAAAATAGCACTAGAAACTGTTACAAATGTACATATAAGAATCACTACAAAAAAGGCACTAAAAACTATTACAAATGTGTCTATAAGAATCACTACAAAAAATGATGGTAGAAACTGTTACAAATGTGCTTATAACAATCACTAAACAAAATGACACTAGAAACTGTTACAAATGTGCTTATAAGAATTATTACAAAAAATGACACTAGAAACTGTTACAAATATGCTTATAAGAATCACTACAAAAAATGACACTAGAAACTGTTACAAATGTGCTTATAAGAATCACTACAAAAAATGTTACCAATGTGCCTATAAGAATCACTACACAAAATGATGCTAGAAACTGTTACTAATGTGTCTACAAGAATCACTACAAAAAATGTATACAAGAAATTGTTATTATATTATCTACTAACTCCTAGTATGCCATTTAATAATGTGTAGTAAGTGTCCTACAATGTCCCACTATACATTGATAACAGTCTACAAAGTCACCTACTAACTCTTAGTATATTGTCTAGTAGCATTTAGCAAGTCAACAATAGCCTATTACACTGGGTCCTAATATACTCTTTAGTATCGGTTTGTAATGAGCTTACAATAGTCTGAACATGTCACCTGATGTCACTTTGTAACTAGTAACCTACAATAGTTCCTAGTAATCTCTAGTAAATGCCCTAGTATGCAAGTTTATAAGGGCCTTACAATAGTTAGATATATCACCTAGTGTCAGTTTATATGATGCTTACAATAGTCTAGTATACCACCTAGTACCAGTTGGTAAGGACCTTACAGTAGCCTACAAAGCGATATATTGACTCCTAGCATGTTCTATAGTAATGCTTAGTAAGCCTCCTACAATGCCTTATTATACTGTTTATTGAATGCTAGTACACCCTCTAGTATCAGTTTGTAAGGGCCTCATAATGTTTAGATATGTCTAGTGTGTATTTTTAAAGGGCTTACTAGAGTCTGAAATGCCACCTAGTATGGGTTTGTAGAGACCTTACAATAGCTCAGACTTGCAAGACCTGTTACAATTGCTGTCATAACCTGTACTTATACCAAAAGTCCGAGCTTGTAGTGCTTTAAAGCTGCCCTACAGCAGTTACTAATGAGGCTGATAACCTGGAAGCTATAGTAGTGCCGGGGATACCTGGTGAACAGCTCTTTAGTCCAGAAACAGAAGTGCTGACTTTGAACATTTTCTGCATTTAGTAATTCTTCAGCCACCAGAGCGCTGAGAACGAAAAAAGTGTCGATGCGCTCAATTTTTTGGACTGCATCGACGCTTTTTTCGTTGTCCGCTCAAACCTTAACCAATTTAGGCAAGTCTCTTGCAATTGGTTCCCACACTTTCAGCCAAACTTGCAAGGCTTGTAGCTCACTCAATTCTCCTTGGATTTTGATGAACCAAGCATCCATTCTGACCGATGTTTTGAGCTGAATCTGATGGTATCACTTTCAGAACACCAGAATCACTTCCTGCAGTGCTACAATCCATTTTGGCTCAAAGCACTTATTTTCACACATCTAGCCAAACTTGCCAGGCTTGTAGTTCTCTCAATTCTGCTCAGATTTGGATAAACCTCATAGCCATTCTGAGCAAAGTTTTAAGCTGAATCTGATGGTGTTACCCTCAGAACATCAGGATCACTTTCTGCAGTGCTACAATCCATTTTCTCTGTTTTCTCTCACTTCTCCTTGTTTCTCCAAGAAAAAAACAATGTGCACTGCCTGTTAAAAATAAGGCGCCCTATCTAGCATGTTCATGTGCATTTTAAAGTCATTCTCAATTTTTTCTGACATTTATACAATTTTTCTGCACTTCACACTGAGCATTCTAACCCAAAACTGAGATATCTCAGCCAGTTTTACTCAGATTTACTTGATTTAAGAGAGCATCATGCTCCATTTCCTTTACAGATTTCAATGGTACTACTTTGTACATGTTGGGATTAGTATGCGCTTCTATAATTTCACTGACTATGATGCATTGATCCTCTGTGGCTGCTGTGGCACTTCTGTTGATCACTATTTATACAAGTCGTGTTGGATTCTACTACAGTCACTTTGAAAGACCGACTGTATGCAAGGTGTAGTACAGTAACAACAGGCACTACAAAGTTTGTAGTTAAACCCTAGACCTAACCCAGGACTAGGGGCATCTGATCCATACAAATTTGTATTGAAAAGTCGTTCTCACACATAGGGGCACTTGGACATGTCCCTCAGAATTTGGTGGAAGGCTCATCCCAAGAATGATTCCTTCATACCTCAGGAATCGTAATTATGTTTTACACATGCAATGAGCATTTTCTCCATCCAAGTGAGATCCTGTAATTGCAGTGGAATTGCATCAATCCAAAGTCCATTTGCAAGGGCATCTGTAGGCACTTTACCTTGCTGCAAATATGAAAGACAGTAAGTGCATATGTTGTCACAACTTGGTAAAACTACTGAGCCAGAAAGTTCTTGTATAGGATCTTGTTCTGTAAAATGTTCTTGTCTAGTTTGAATAAAGTCAGATGTGCATAGCAATGAGAGGTTTGCTTGCACTTCAGTCAGACTTGTGAGCTCTGTGACAGGCTCTAGCAATGCGCAAACAGTGCAGGCCATTTCTATAAATTGAGATGGGTCAGTATCAGTACAAAATCCATGAATTGTCTCATATATCAAAGGTATTGGAGGTGGAGCAGGTGGAAAAGCAGTTGTATGAATAGTCTCACTTATTTTAGGCTTTGCTTTCTTTTCTGTAATCTTTTTACCCAACTTACGATAAGTCTCACTGCGCTGAGCATTGTTCTGAATTGGTTGCACTTTCTGAAAATGAGTAACAAAGTCAGGACACATAGTACAAATATGCTCAGAATTGATTCAAGATTGTCTCTTATAAGCCTTTTGCCACTTATACTAAGGCCATGTAACCATCCAATTGTATGCAGAGTATACACTGGTAGTCTTTGTGATAGTATAGAAAGTGGTATATCCACCTGAATGATATCTGGATGGAATTGAGATATCTTTGTGGTGTTTTTCAGTGAGTAATCCCAGAATTTGTATTGATCATCAATATCATATAGCATTGCATTATATGCATGAAGCTCAGCAGCAGACCAGATGCGAGATTTTTTAGGAGCAATACCTCCACCATGTACTTTATTATTAATAGTAATCTGAGTTTTGAAGTATAAGAACTTTGGTTGAGACAGTGACTTTGGCTGTATAGAGTTAGTGTAAGCTTGTAGCACAGAGAAAGAATGCCCAAATTAGCATCAGACGAGTAAGCTGCAAGTATGGAATCGGTCTGTAAAATAGAACATGTGCAATTGCATATGACAAATGTATGCTGGAAGGCCTTTTATGAATATATCTTTTCCAGCATGTGTCGGTCAATATTTTATAGTTTAGCTGCATGGATCTTTTCAAGAGGGTGTCTGTCTGTACCCTGCAGTCAAACTGCACAGATCTTTTTGAGAGGGTGTCTGCCTGTACCCTGCGGTCTAGCTGCACAGAAATTTCTGAGAGAGCATCTGCCAGCACCCTAGTAACATGCTCAAAAGATAATGCAATTTGACTTGAAGTATCTTCTTCAATCAACATAATTTTCTCAGGTATCACAGTTCTTGATCGCCAACAATATAGTTTGCTTACATTGGAATCACAGTTTATAGTTAACTGCAGCCATCAGACAATTGTAACGACCATGTATTCGAGAAGACAGCGCCATGCAATCAATCCTCCTTCAACAAAATACAGACCACCATCAGATTGAGTGACACTGAGTCTGCCCCCAGCTTGGTTTTCTACTGGTTAGGGCTGTACAGAACAGCGACAAAAGAACCAAGAAGAACCTCATTATTCCAACATGGACAGATGTCACACACTGAATTGAAAGAGAACTTGTTATCTCACTTGCCACTCTCAATGCCTTGGAAGAATGCAGTGCAGTCATATACCACAACTAAGACTCTGATGTATCAGTGTTACGATCAGAGAATATTGTAGAACAGACATACCATCATCTTGTTGAGTGATGTACTGCCAGCTCAAAAAAGAACAAGCAAAGTAAAAGAAGACATAAAACAGAATATTGGACATACAATTGCCTGCATAGTCAGAATGCTCCAATGTAGATGGTCTGGTGGACATGGTGATGTTGTTCTGATAGGTGTAAAAACTGTAGTTGTCACCAATGAATGAGCCAAAGAATGCAACAGTCCACTCTCATTCAAGGCTCATGTATTAATAGGCTGATATGTGATTGCATAGTAGGCGCTGCATATTATGAGTGAGAAAATGTAAAACAAGAGTAAAATATAACTGAGATGATGAACCGTCGGAAGGGAGGCAAAGTCTCGTAGGCACCAGCCTTCAGAAGAATCGGATCCATCAAGGTTATGGATGTGACCTGGCACTCAAAGTTATTTTCTTCTTCATCAGTATCTCTGGAAACAGTATAAGTTAAAACACAGAGGTGGGTGGAATGTATCAACTCATTCTAAAAGTTAAAACAAATATGGTCATTATTAGAAATGCATCAGAACAAATAATGACCCTTACGTTGATCTCCATCTTTCCATCCTTATGATTGCTTTACTAAGGTGGATATTATGAATATATCAGAAAATGTTTATGTTTGCTTACGAGGGCAACAGTTTCTGAACATCTGAGCATGAAGGCTGATGAATGTTGTCGTACAAATAGGTTTCAGAATGTATCATATAACAATATAATCAAACATATTTACAGAACATCCTCCATCTTGCCTTTAGATCCAGTGGCAGATTTGGTCAGAGACAAGCAGATGCTATTTAATAAAATCAATAGGCAGTTAGATACCTGTGCTATTAACATACTCGCAGTCTCTAGGATCATATTGCTTTACTTGCAAGGAAAAATCTTGTCTCTCCTGCTCTGACATCTTCGTCATGGCAAGGTACATTTAAAGTATAGTGAAGTGAGATAAGAAAACAACATACGTCATAACATTATAATGATTAAGCTTGGATTGCTCCATCAATGCTTCTGCTTCAGAGTCAGGCTTACTCTGCCTGTTGTGACCTTTCTTCATAGGGGAAGATCTGAATAAAATAGTATAAAAATATGAAACAATAGTCAAACTAAAGTTACATACTGTTCTGGCTCTGCCTCCTTGTCAGAATCAGACATAAACTCGCTTGATGGGTGTATGAGTCACCTTTCCTTTGCTGTAGTAACCTATGTATGAGCAAGTCTGAAAATAGCATAAATTGAACTACAAACTTGGGCGAAGGACTAATGGGAGTCGGCAAGAGAACGAACACCTTATTCACCTTCTTCTTGAGAATCTCCGTGATTTCGGGTTCATTAATTGGTAGGGCCGCATCACTACAAGATACTCAGACTTGAAGAATAGAAAGACAAAAGACTACAGCGTACCTCTTCAAAGACTGCTCGACATCGGAGTCATTGTCCATGAATACATCCTTCAGCTTAGCACTACACACATTATAAACACAGTGATTCAAGACTCAGTAACAAAACACTTACCTAGCCATCTTGGCAGTGGTACGACCGGACACGCGTGAAGTACTTGGATAAATCTGAGGATTAAACTAGTTTCTATCAGCAGTATCAGAGGTGAGGAAGGAGTTCGGGGAGGTGGCGGGTGCCATGTGGTGTCGCACGACAACAAGGATGAACAGAGGCCCCGCACTTGAAGCAGGGACCTCAGTGGAATGTCCGCATGCCGACAGTGGCCACCGTGGCGATGAGCGATGAAGACGAACAGAGGCCCTACACTTGAAGTGGGGACCTCGGCCATGTTCTCTGAAATGTCTGCATGCTGGGGTTGGCCACCATTCCATGGCAGATGGTGTGGTAGAGGTGGGGAAGGAGTTTGGAGAGGTGGTGAGTGAGGATGAATGAAGCCCCTGCACTTAATGTGGGAGCTTTGGTCATGTCCTCTGGAATGTCCTCATGCTAGGGGGTGGATGCCATTCAATGGCAGAGGGCAGGGCAGAGGGCCTGGGGACATCCTGGGGAGGTGGTGTGGGCCGTGTTGCATGATGACGAGGACAAACAGTGCCCATGTATTTGATGCAGGGGCCTCGTTCAGCTCATCTGGCATGTTCTCATGCCAGGCATGGCCACCATTCCACAACAGAGGGTGTGGTAGAGGTGATGATGATGATGAACGGAGGCCCTAGTTTGATGCAACAGCCTCGGTAGTGTCCTCTGGCACGCCCTCGTGTCAGGGAGGGTGTGTGTTTAATGCCGGAAGGTAGTGGAGAGGACTGGGAGGTCAGTTCCAACAGGACCTGAGGATGGGAGAGAAGGCGCATGATTATGCATGCCCTAAAGTTCAGTAGAAAGATAAAAAGGAGAAATAATAGTGTACTCACCTCTAAGCAGCTGGTTGAAGCCCAGGAGGAGGAGAGGAGGAGATCAAAAACCTGAAGTCCCAAGGTCATGTGGACCTTGAGTCACATTTTGCGCCATATGAAACATTATCATACAGCGCAAGATATGACCTAGAGCGCACCGGACTGCACATGCCCCTGGAGTCACATTTCCACGCAGCATGAACTGTGATGCAATGCATTGCACTCTTTCCTCCTCCTTCTATCCTCTGCTGTAGTCCTCTTTCTAGCAGTACAACCTCTGTTCTTTTGCTCAGATATCTTTCTGCAGGTGCTTAGCACTGCTCCTCCTTCTATCCTCTGCTGTAGTCCTCTTTCTAGCAGTACAACCTCTGTTCTTTTGCTCAAATATCTTTCTGCAGGTGCTTAGCACTGCCAAGCTCACTGCCAAGCTCACTACAGGTCTACTTGCAGCTGCCTTGTGATACACCTTGTTTTAGATCACTCTGCATTGCAGTACTCACCTTGCAAGGTGTTGACATTTCAGATTCTGATACACCCAGTTCGACTGCAAGGTACCATTTTGAGGTCACAAAAGTGAACTGAGGTTGCTGCAGGGGATCACCTGATAACTAACCTTCAGGGAGGGGGCTTTCCGAGACCAAAAGGCCAAGGAGGCTGAGGTAACCACTTAAGCAGTAAGCAAGAAGGTGTATCAGAAGACTTTGAACACAACTCACTTAGGTCTGAGCTTATTCCTTTCAATTCTCACTCAACTCTTGGCTATCCCGACTAGCTGGGAGACGAGTTCACTGCAATCAGTGTTCCTGGCTAAAGCTCATGACTGGGCAACTTGCTTCTTACTTTGGCTTGTTCTGGAGTACTAGAACCTTGTGTATTCTTTTCTTGAACACCGGTGGTGTGTTGTGTGAAATTGAGTAAGTTCTTTTGCTGTATTTTTGTTATGCAAGCTAACTTTTGATAAATTCAGGTGCAGACTACGTTTGACTCGAGCACAAGGCGCCCGACCAGTATAGCATGTAGTCATAATCATTCAGGTAAATTTATATGACAGTATTTATGTTTTAAATATAAACTAAGTACGATCAAACAGAAACTCTTCATTTTTGAACATATGACAACTAGGAGTAATATAAATACCACAACCGGTTAGTTCTCTGCTACCCATTATTTCAATTGTTCACTTATAAAATTATTTTGTTTTGCAGGCTCCGTCCAAATACCATCGATGCAGAGTTCTCGTTTGTCATGGCTGCAACAAAGACTCCAAACCAGGAATGTGGACTGGGAGCGATATCAGTTTGGTATGCCAAGATTCGTAACTCCGGCATCTCCGTTTTCAGAAGAGAATCCACCTCCAACATGGGAGCAAAAGTTTCGATCACAGCAGCCACGTCCTGTGATAGAAAATGATGAACTGTGTCCACCACCACCACCACCTCCCCACCCTTTGTATGCCTACCCGCAATCGCCAGTATGGAAATTGAATGTTGAGAGAGACAATCGATATACCGCTGGTTGGGTCTTCATGTCAGACCTTAATACATCACGCATTCTGACAGAGGAGTGTCCAAGAATACTGAAGACTGCCAGACCAAAGGTAGATCCATATATGGAGGATGGAGTCATGAAGATAGATCCCATACCGGGAATGGTTAAAATGCCTGCCGGTATTCCATTCGTTCAGACTTTGGATGGAAATCCTTATGATACCATAACTGTAGCATGTTTACATACTATGGAGTCTCTTAGTCACTATCCCGACTTTGACGAAATTCAGAAACATGTCAATATACTTCGAAAGTATACTTGGGAAGGCTGTCCAGCTCAAAATGAAGAGCCTGCAGTTCCTCTGGTCTACGCACTTCCAGATTTGAAGTTAAATAACCTAACCAACCAAGAGACCAGGAAGGCGTGCACGGATGCTTTACTAAACTCTGAGGGCACAGTTTCTGTGGATGGATCATACAGTTTGGCATCGACAGTAGAAGAAGGAAATGGCCTGGGTATATTTAAACCAGCCATTCAAGCCACAGGAGCTGCTGCTGCACTATCCATATCTGCGATCACACAGGCGCTAAACGCTCTCTTCTCTCTGATTCTACCAAAATGCATCAGTTGTGAAGAATGGACTTGCATGAAGTTCTATCAAATTGACAATAACGTTATTATTGGGTTCAGTGGACTGGATCCTAATAATACAAGCTTGCAAATGAATGTGTCTTCAGAATGTAATGACCTCTCCCGGCTTTGAGCTTCCCCATCCATGACCAGCATGCCCCAACTGCCGATAATGAAATCACATCCAGCGCCAGTACCAACACTCATCCAGATGCATGCATTTTGATGCTGAATGCCTTCTCACTCCTCCTCGCTCCTCAATCCGATGTTCAGGCTGGCACATGCCAAAGTGTTGCTAGCGATGCACATTCCTCAGGAGCTGATGCAGCAGTGTCAGAACCCATCATCCCTAAGCCTGATAGCCAAGTGGGTCACCCACACTCAGGAGGTTACATGCTTAGTGATGAGTTAGGGAGACATGGGTGGGATACCGCAAAGTATGACAAGTTTCTGGTATGAAGCATATCTTGAAATGTTTCCAAAGACTGTAGCTGACTAGCATGTACAGAAGGACATCGGTGACTTGGCAGTCAAGTATTTGGAATTGGACAAGACAATCTCGAAACAGAAACAGACGATGTTGGATGCAGTGTATGCCCTGGTACGTTGGGTAGTTGCATATGCGATCAGCACTGGTGGTTACAGAACTTCATCAGGCCATGAAGCTCTATCCCCAGCTTGCACACTACAAGAAGTGCTGGCCGGTCAGAGATGTTCTGAAGACCAAGTTAGGAAACATGACCTACATGACCAAGAAGGATAGGAAGGAGCAGGAGGCCCACGCATCTGTAAGTATAGTTTGAACATCAAATGACCGATGCTTATTTGCCTGCAGGTTGCACCGGCTGTGTTCTAAAATATCCTGCATTGTTGTACTGCTCTCGATTTTAGTCATGAATGTAGACTCAATTGTTGGGATTCGAGCAGTGCCTTACATGCACTCATGTAGCATTATCTCATGTTGTTTCCAGATTTGTGCTGTATGAGTCGGCCCCATTTGCACCAATGGTCAGTAAAGTTATAAGTCAGCTGTCCTATGCTGCTGCCTGAACAGGGGATGTTCGGGTGGCCTATACCACCAATGAAAACCTCGCAGCTGACAGTGGGGCTGCAAATAATGCCATGCACTATTGAGAGACATTTTAGTCAGCCAACGTCAACCCTAATCCTTGATCTTGTTCTTTGAAATTTGCCCTTATTCGTGGAGGGTTATTGATTGCAATGGGAGCAGACAATACATTGAATTTATAAGTAGAAGTACAACAAATGCGACCGACAATCTCCATATGGTCCCTCAGCGAAATGCCCCACAGACAGCTGACTGCCTCCCAATAGCCTTATGGCACCTACATGCACATCTAATCAGTCAAGTAATGTACCAACTCGTCAAAGACTTACATTGTTGTTTTATAAATCTTTACCTTAAATTCACAATGAATTGTGTGCAGGGTGTGGGATAGTGGAAGAGGGTCCATATGGTTTTGAGCCTCACACATGAGCTTCGCAGGCTTCACTGACACCCACATGATGAAAGAACTTGATAACAAATACATACATTCTCCAATGACAAATGCAGTGTAAGATAACAATGAATACGTTCTCGGATGACAAACTATACATGATGCAACACACAAACAGCTAACCCCTAAAGGTTGCTCAGCGAACTAGTAGAGGAAGTGAATAAAGACTACATCAGTACAATGTTGAATGCATGTTTGCACTGTTGGCAGCAATCTCTGCAGAGAGGGAGTGCATGGCATTGGCTGTGGCTTCTACTATTCAGCTCCTTGACATTTCTATCCAACTTGTCCAAACATCTGGACATTGCACAAATATCCACAACTAACTTCATAGCTATGACCCTGCATGCCTGCTCACACTTCAGGTCCTTGAACTCCTCCAGTAAGGACATGCACGTGTCTGGCAAAGTCCATCTCAGTACTAGGTTTTGGAGATTGTACTGGGGACACGGAGACCTGTAGGCGAGTAATGTCAGCAACTGAAATGTGGACAGCGAACTTCCGCATCCACCTTGTCTGACATGTTTGCGGGGGACGTGGTGGACAACATTAAAATTCTGAGAGAGTAGTGCGGACAGCAAAATCTGGGATGGATGGCAATGGGTTCGCGTTATCAGCCTAGCAGCAGGCAGAATATATAAAGGCAACATACCTGGGATTAGAAGCATCATGCTGGATGGTTCCATGAATACCTGTCATGGAAGTCAACAAGAAGCACAGCATCAACACGGAATTCATGTAAGCGATGTGCATAGAGCACTCACATGGTATGCTCAGCAGTTCTGGGCTTTCAAGCAGAGCCAATATTGGCCTGTGGGTTCAGTCTAGTGGCTCAGGCACCAATTAATGGTGCATTTTCATGGTTCTTATGTTTATGTTTGGTACAAACCCAATATGGCCCTCAATCATCAGAGATGTGGGTCAGATGGCTATGATACAGGTTCTAATACAATGTGTACTATCGGCCCTAATTCAAACAGGCACGGCAGTGCACACGAGAATGGCTCAGTGAGGAAGAGGGAACCTGCATGGAAGAGGGCATTATGAGGAAGCCCTCAGGGCATCAACGTGGGCGAGGAAAAGGGTGGTGACAATGGCACTGGAGCAGAAGAGGGTGTTGGCTTCGACAATGACAATAATGAGGAGGGCATAGGCGACAAGGAGGAGGCAGACATGGTGACAGAAGAACTGGCCGATATCGCAGGGATGATGGAAATTCGAAAGTAAAAAAGAAGGCACCCAAATTCTGGGCAGTGACCAGATGGTGCATGCGGTCTATTTGTGCGAGACAAACAGAGGGTGAGAAGTGGCTCGTGACAAGCAGCCCATGATCTGTGGCTGCCTTATTTGTGTGGAACAAAGTGATGGGATGCGTCAAAACTTTGCTGGAGGTGAAATGGGCATCTTTTTCCTCTTGTTCTCATTTCACCACCATCTTTTGGCCATAGCGCTTGTCATTTGCTATGCGGCCTGGAGCCTTTAGTAACATTGTAGTGCTCTTCTGTAGTTTCATTGTTATTTATTCTTGTGGGATCCTCGTTACCTTTAGCTATAGAATAGGTAGCCAAGCTGCTCACAGAGAATGACTTTGTGCAGACAGTTTGTTTCATCACCCTTTTGCACCGGTTGCATACCAGAGTGGGATACAATCAAATTGCAGCTGATTTAGTTATTGATTACCTTACGTGTAAAAATTTATGAAGACCGTTGACATTAATGCACCTGTGCAAGCACTTACAGCCAGATTGCACCAGGTCAATTGTACATATTGAGGTTGATAGGCTAACAGGCTAACAATGATGTATGTGCACAATATGGACAAAGGGCAGTGTAGCTAAGCTATACTGACATGTTTCTCAATGTATAGGAGAATGCGGCACTTGTGTATGCTCACGCACAACTGCAGGAGCAGCCGCTACATCGGAAATCTTCTCAGTGACACCTCATCACCAGCAGTGCAATGTTGAAGGACATTATGCATGTTACTTGGAAGTAATTGTACATGTGGGCTGATTGGTGATGAACACCTCATGGTTGAAGTACTTCAAGCGACATCTCATAAGATACAATTGCTTAAATCTAATGGACACTATCCTGACCTTTGATACTGTCATATCCTTCAAAGTGTGCACAGAAAGCAGTAAGTACTGCAGTCGGTTCTTACATTTTCAATCCTCATGCATGGAATGCCAAGAACCCATACTTGGATATCAAGGCTATTATCGACAATGAAGAGGAGGAGGAGGAGGAGGAGGAGCAGGAAGAAGAGGAGAAAAAAGAGGAGGAGGAACTGGGTAAGTGTCTCAGCTGCATTATTGGATATATCTTACAGCTTGTTTCCAGCCGAGTTGCTCACTGACGTCCAACACAGTCAACAAGCTCGGGCATTTCTTGATAATGCATGTGTCAGCGATGATGCTGTTGATGCAGAAGCCATGGCCTGGTCTATTATGGAGAGAGACATGGTGACTAGACGTGCACAGTGGGCCTCGCAGTCGGGTGGTGCAGTCATCTCTCTTGCCCCCGATGGTATCCACCTTCAAGCCACGAAAGATGGTTTCCTCTCTCCTTGGGTGTGCATCTCGTGTGGTACATATAAGCACGATGTGCCCTTCGTGGAGTTGTGAGAGAACTCTCTCCTCTGCACCTGGGTGGTTCTGCACCTGGCTACTACAAAAAAGTGGCAGCACAGAAGAACCTTTCAGCAACTGATGCTGTCAGCAGTACTGAAGGAGTTGTTCACTGTGACAGAAAGTGAAGGTGATCGGCTGATACATATTCTCAAGGGCAAGAAGTTCAAAGGTGGCCTCCTGCAGCTCAAACTCACTTTGGACCGGGTGACATTTGATGTCCATGCAACTCGAAACGACGTATTCATCTTTGATATGGTGAAATTTGTGCCAAAGACAGTGATAGCGAAGCTCATTCTATTCTGTGTTGACTTCAAACCGGCTGCAGGCACACGTGTGATCATTATACAGGGTGAGCAATGCGGCCTCATCAGTGTCGTGCATTCAGTCATTAGTGGACAGGCTACACTAACCAATCTCTACCACGGGAAGTTGGATGATGAACTTTGATCTCTCATGCTACCTGTAACTCAGTTACACCCCCTTTGGGCAGTTGGTGATGCAGTCAAAGTTAACACAGGGCTCCATGTGGGCTTGGAAGGGCAAGTGATTGCCATGGATGATTTTGATGTCACAATTGTTCACATGAACAAAGTCGAGGTACGTTGTGCACTTAATAGTGGAACTTTCCTCAGCATGTATGTTTTACGTATGACGATGCTTCCAAGTACTGAACTTTTCTCAGTGAACTAGATACCCAATAATAAGAGTCTTTCATACTTATTCTGTGTTGGAAACCTCTGAGGTATGTCCAGCCACCTGCGACATTATTGATGCTCAAAACTCGATATAGCATCATGTGTTACCCTGGGGATCTCTTACTCACAGAGTCCGAGGCAGAATGGACATTGATACAGCCAATGGTGACAGTATCAAGGCCGGGAGAGCAGTGCCTCTTACGCCCTGTGATGCAAACAGAGAAAAAAGTGGAGATGGAGCTTGCCCTCAAGCATCCTGACCGCCGGAATCCCAACGTCGGGCGAGTGGTGCATGTCATCAAAGGCCCTTTGAAGGGATTTGTGGACACATTGCGAAATGTCACATACCATGGCGATTATGAGGTTGAGCTTGAAGCCAAGCTTTTAACCTCGAGGGGCGTCCTCTTATTCTGAAAGCCCGAGATCGCATTCCGATCAGAAGAAAGGTAAGATTCATTACTTGTAGTTCACTGAAGGTCATATCTAACTGCCTCATTGCAGGGGCAACATTGACACGGTGGAGTGTGGTCTGCTCCCTGAGTGGCCTCGGACCCCATTGGGCCACAAGTTAGAACCCGCTGAAGGGATGCATAGCGCACTGAGGTGGGAATCACATCCACGAAGCGGCCTCACATTTCAGAGATACTACAGGGTGCTACACAACAGACCCTAGTCCAACACCAATTGGAAGCTGGTTATCGAACGCTATGAGCCCAAATGCTATATCCAACTCCTCAACTACAATCCGCAACCGTCTCAAAGTATATCTGCCAACTCGCATCTACCGGTGATTCCACGCATGACATCACACAGTTCGCGGGCCACATTGCGCAATGTCTCAACCTGAAGATGCAAGGTTCCTGATGGCAATAATAAGCAGAGGAACACAATTCCAGAAAAATGGGGATAGGATGACCACACCCCAATGTCATGAAGACCATCCAGTGGGTGGCACAAAACAAAGTCCTCGTGAATAGCGGGGTCATCGTACAGAACACGAGCAGTCAAACCACAAGGAATGACAGCGGGAAGGTGGTCAGCAATCCGAGGGATCATCCGATGACCACCTTCCACAGTGCGAGCTGTCGCAAAATGTATTTCCACTTGGGCAAGGACAGGAATATTGAGTGGAAGGAGTAGGATGATCCCCACACTGGCCACTTCAGACTGAGCTTAGATCATGAAGACCTGAGGGACATGTGAGGGTCAGACAGCGAAGGAACATATGCTCGCAGGAGCCTCACCAGCAGGATGTGCATCCGGACTGCCCATGCTTTCCACAGGATCAGATCGAAGGGCTCGGTAAAGATCTCAATGTGAAGAAGAGCTTCCACGAGGGTGTATTTGCGAAGAATAATGCTGGTGTCCATGGATGGGAGATTGAGTTCGGGATGGGAGATGCCTCCAAGGTGGGCAGATCCTTATTAGGCGCTCAGGCAGGTTCAGTGATAGAGGATCCCTTGGAATGAGTAGGAGCGTGAGCAGACAGGATTGCGAGATATGGCGTGATGGGCAGTGATTCAGCGGAGCAATTGTTAAGCAGGTGCGGGCAGTATCGGGAGGGCAGGAAAAGGTCAGGACCAGTTTAAGTATGATGGCAGGGGAAGAGGTCGGGGGAGAACCCACCATCCTGGAAGGTATGCTTGCGAAAGTCTCATTCACATTCACATCTCACTTGTGGGGAGTGGGCCATTGCTTTGCATGGCAGGAACGATTCCTGAGGTCTGATGTTCCTGTGTTCCTACTTTCTTCTACCCAACTTCGAAGCAATTCTTGAATAGTAAATTCTGTCTACATCTTACAATATATTACAATGCTACACCTTCTGTTCTCAACTTCTGCCAATACATTTGCTGCCATGTCATCCAAAGAGCACTCAAATTTGGAGTAAGTATTAAAGTGAAATCCACCAAAGTATATCATTCCACAAAGTCGATATTCATGATTGTCTTCACCAATGTACAGCTTGGGATTGCACTCAACTTTGACTTCATTGGTAGAGAAGAGAATAAAATTTGGATTCTGTGCAAAGTTTACTTGCATGTACATTTTTTTTCCACATTGTGGACATCGTGTTTTTCTGTCAAACAAGGGAAATAACCAGTCCGACAGCTTACACCACTTACAGTTTCCCATCTTCAGTCCTGATTCTTTCCACATAGGCTTGGTGCAGTCCCATAACATTGTATTGTCAGATTCTGATTCATGTTGATACTTGCAATGCTTGCAGACAAGGGTTCGAGTTATATAGTCTTCATTACAGCCAAGCATGGTGGTACACAGCTTTATGAGATCTGAGCCTGCAGTACCAGTGATTGGAAGTGCAACAGGATCAACCTGATGGAGTATTACTCGCATATAGTCTCTTTCCATTGTAAGTCTCTGTTGTAACACTTGGCTAAATACAGCAGTAAAGTGCTCCAGATATTGATTTTGCATGCATATATCTACCATCCAATGCTCAGTCTCTGTAGAGAATAGATGAAATAAAATACTAAACAGGCTATCGTATGCACAGCTGTAAGTGTCTTTGTTCCATGTAAATCCAATTGGACCATTTGTAGCAAGATCATCAGGGTCATTCTCAGTTTTATGTCTCTTTTGCTCAGGCAACATTGCATTGATTTCCTCAAGATGCTTTTGCTTTGCACCATGCTTCTGTCCTGGATCATTGCTGACAGTTGTCAACTGTTTAGTGCCTTGTGCAGAAACAAACTTGCTAATATCCTTCTTTACCTGCGAGATCTTGGGTTCTTCCATCTGTACATCTATGTCGTTCACTGTCTTTTTGGCTCCCCTCTTAGGTCTTTTCAATAACTGCCAGTCACTCTCTTCTTCAACTTTCTCAAGTTTAAATGGCTTCTCCTGTGACCATTTGAGCTCAGAATGTATGCCTTTAGGTACATGGTCTGGTCCTTTATATGATCGGAAGGAATATATCAGTTGATTGCGAGTATTGCCCTCCACTTCACTGGCCAACTTATTGTGATACCGCAACTTGGTAATCTCATCCAATAACTCAAGCTCTCTGAATTCTTGCCTCAGATAACCAGTTAGACCACCTGTCATCTTTTTGTGATCAAATCCCTGCACAATTATAGTGCCCTCATATGTAAATCCACGAGATAGACAAGTGTAAACAGACTGGTGAGACCAACAGTTCTGTAAGTCACAGACATTGTCTGGACGAGTATGACCCTGAGATCCAAAGTCTGTCATTGCAAAGTTAGGGATCACAGGAACTTGATATCGCATAATGGTTAGAAGTTTATCATTTTGCATATTACACTTCACTTTGATACCCTGACTAATAGGTACAACATTCTCAGGCAATCCATCTAGCTGAACGGGTGTTAGAGGTGCAGTGAGTTTGATAAACAGTGTCTCCAAGGCATATTTATTATTTTCAAGTGGCTTTGACTTCCAACCAACAACTATACCTTCTGCACTGTTAGTTACACAGCATTCTGTGGCCTCATTTGTTTTAATCATTACAGGTAGACCAAGACAAATGGTGAGTTTCCCTGGGTGATGATATGTACTAGCATGAGGCAGTTCCCATAGTCTTGCTTGAATTCCTGGCTCAATCTTGTTAGACTTCCGTTGTGGATTGACCACCTTCTGTTTGCAGTTAGGCTTGTCATCTGGTGTATCTGACCATTTGTCTACAGAATAGAATGTCTTCAACTCCTGCTTAGTCTTTTGAGCAAATCGTGCACATCCAAGTTCATTGATTTTATATCGGTGAGTATTCCATGCTGTGATCACAGACACATTTCTAAATCTTGGTTGGTTCAATTTGGGCTTGTCTGCTGCACGACCGGCAATTCTGGATTCAATATGTTTAATGTCTGCCATAGTACAGGATTTAAAGTGAAGGTTCTCCAAGGCCTTACGCAGTTTGGCATCATTTGGATTCTGCAAGCGCTGTCTCATGTTCTCACACAGAATTACTACTGTAGTAACTTGATGCCAGAGTGCCTTGCCTAGTGTAGCTTCTTGGAGATGGTATCCATTGGTTGTATGTACATTACTAAGATCAACATGTGTTCCAACCTTATGTGAATATAAAGAATAGGTAGGTCCAGCCGGTGGAAGCTGCGCAAAATCACCAGCAAATATCATATTAATTCCTCCAAAGGGTATACCTTCATTCTTGAGAGCTGTGCTCATTTTTGCACATATATTATACATGCTGTTGCAGTCTACCATAGACACCTCATCCACAAATATATAGTCAACATTGAGGAGTCGTGCACGTACTTGCATCAGGGAAGTCTGAGAGTCACCGAACTTGCC